GAGTGTGTGTGTGTGAGAGTGTGAGTGTGTGTGTGAGAGTGAGTGAGTGAGTGAGGGGTGTGTGAGAGTGAGTGAGGGGTGTGTGAGGGAGATGAAGACCTTGCTACAGCTGTTAGTGAGTGACGCCAGCGAGGACAGCAAACACTCGTTAGTGGTGTGAAACTTCTGCGTGACGGTGGGCAGATCCTGTTCCAAAGACACCTTCTGACTGTGGTGCTGTGACAGCTCTGTTCACACACACACACACACACACACTACATGTAAGACTAAGACCAAGTAAAGAAGATTTAAGGAATAAATCAAAGAAAACACAATTTTTCAATATGTCCTCTAAATCTAAATGTCTAGGAAGATGCTTTGAGCTTAATTAGCAACACTTTAAAGTTTAGAAATACAACTTCCTACAGATCTCCATGCTTCTTAATTTTACATAAAAGTAGCTGAAGGCTTGAATATCTCAGCTCACAAACACTAGAATATGGAAATAACTGTTACTGCACCTTCTGATCTCACTGCTATAAAGTGATGTTCCTCCTCAGTGTTTTTCTCGTTTTCCAGTAGAAATGTCTAAAGATTATTAAATCAATTAAATGACAAAGTAAGAAGTCTTGTTTTATGATAAGTTGATCGAAATGAAGTGACTTATGATTAAAACAATAACATATATGTGCTGATGGAGTTAGAAAGATCAGCGTAATTCAAAGGGAAAACTGTCAGATGTTTGTTCTTTGTTTTAAGCATAAACTCAATTCATATCTTCATTTAACATCTCCAGTAAATCTTGATTTAAGGCCGTTTAGATATTTGTATTGGAAAACAAGGATACTGTAGGAACACATTAACGTTTTGCAGTGAATGACTAAGAGCCTGCAGAAGTGCTCTGAATGTGATGTGCGTCACACACACATGCTGGATCATGTCTCACCTGTAGCGGCGTCGTGCAGGCCGTGTAAACACACACTCATCTGGGTGAAGACAGCGTTAGCACTGCTCTGACACATGCCATCTGAACACACACCTGCGGCACAAGACATCACTCGCTATAAAGTGATGTTCCTCCTCAGTGTTTTTCTCGTTTTCCAGTAGAAATGTCTAAAGATTATTAAATCAATTAAATGACAAAGTAAGAAGTCTTGTTTTATGATAAGTTGATCGAAATGAAGTGACTTATGATTAAAACAATAACATATATGTGCTGATGGAGTTAGAAAGATCAGCGTAATTCAAAGGGAAAACTGTCAGATGTTTGTTCTTGTTTTAAGCATAAACTCACTTCATATCTTCATTTAACATCTCCAGTAAATCTTGATTTAAGGTTGTTTAGATATTTGTATTGGAAAACAAGAATACTGTAGGAACACATTAACGTTTTGCAGTGAATGACTGTAAGAGCCTGCAGAAGTGCTCTGAATGTGATGTGCATCACACACACGTGCTGGATCATGTCTCACCTGTGGCGGCGGCGTGCAGGCCGTGTAAACACACACTCATCTGGGTGAAGACAGCGTTAGCACTGCTCTGACACATGCCATCTGAACACACACCTGCGGCACAAGACATCACTCATTAATCTCACACACACACACACACTCTCTCTCATGCCCTATTTTGAGGAACATCACTGTTCTTTCAGTATCAGCTCAATGTCAGTGATATTTTATCTGTTGGTTGGGTTGTGTATATTTGTACATGGATAGTTTCATGTTTAATTCTGTATGTCAGGGTTCCTCAAATCTTGCCCTGGAGGGCCAATGCGCTGCAGAGTTTAGCTCCAACCCTGATCAAACTCACCTACCTGTGATTTTCTAATGATCCTGAAGACATTGATTAGCATGCTCAGGTGTGTTTGATTAGGGTTAGAGATAAACTCTGCAGGAAAGTGTATGTCGTGGGCCAGATTTGAGGATCCCTGCTGTATGTATTCAGGGGGTTTTCTGGTATGACTGTACCAACCATCAGCCGGGAGTACTGTAATGTGTAAGGCCTGCAGCCTCTGCACTGATGATTCCTGTGATGTTAAGGGGACTGGATTCTTGATATGTGTTTATCTGTGATCCCTTCGTATCCTCTACTCCTACAACACGTGTACTGTATGGTAGTGGACTCATGTCTTCATGTGGTTATGTTCAATGATGTATTTCTCTGATGGATGTCTGGTTCTCTTCTGCTGTTTTATATCACAAAGGGGTTTAAATGCTTTAAAATACAGTTGGTGGATGATCCCCCTCAGATTTTGTGTGTCTCTAGTTGTTTTATTAGCGCAAGTGTTGCAGTACTCACTGGGCACGGCTAGCAGAGCCACGTAAGACTTCGGCTTGTGGAAGACGGCCATCAGTTTCTTCATGTCACTCTGTAACTGCTGGTTCTTGGAGGCCAGCGCTGACGTGCAGAAAGACACCTTGCATTCCTCTTCTAGACTGCACACACACACACACACACACACACACACAGACAGACAGACAGACAGACACACACAGAGAGAGAGAGAGAGAGACACACACACACACACACACAGACAGTAAAATGCATGACTGATGTCTCTGAGCCCAAAAACATGTAGAGCTGCACTAGGCAAAAAGTGCACTGTAACTAACACATCGTATTGACAGTGATAGTGAGAGAGAGTGTGTGAATGTGAGCGAGAGTGTGTGAGCGAGAGTGAGTGAGCGAGAGCGAGAGGGTGTGAGTGAGAGCGAGAGGGTGTGAGTGAGAGCGAGAGGGTGTGAGTGAGAGCGAGAGGGTGTGAGTGAGAGCGAGAGGGTGTGTGTGAGAGAGAGCGAGAGGGTGTGTGTGAGTGAGAGCGAGAGTGTGTGTGTGAGTGAGAGCGAG